AAACCATGCCTCAGGAGTACCAGGATCTAGCTGCCGAGCGAGTGCGACTTCTACGACACCGAGACGCCGCCCGCGAGCGCATCGCCGCGGGCCCCGAGACAGTCTTACAGCTGCGCAGGATCACCGCCAAGTGTAAGCGGATGCGGGCCCGATTGCGTGAATCACGAGACCAACCGCTCAGCGACGAATTCGATGAGGCCCACGCGCGTGGCCATACCCAGGAGGGGTGGCGACCCTGCAGACTCATGGCAGGAGGAGGAATTGGACCGCGGGCGCGGAACTGCAAAATGATAGCGGAGTGTGTACCCGCGGCGGAGTAGTGGAAGACCGACATGGCCAAGCCTGCGTGGGGCGGCGGTATGGGTGCACGCGAAATCCAAGAGCATGATTTCATCGGCGAGGCGGGCCACCACGACCAGCGGGGGCAACCGACGTATCAGGATTTGGTGGAGGGCGCGGAGGACCACCAACGGATATGCTTCGCCTTGAGAAGCGCCAAGCGGCGAAGGGCACCCGCCCCGTGGTCGGTCCCTGTAGAGGTCTGGGCCATCCTGCTTTCGACCAGGCCGACGACTACGAAGCGGACCGCGGGGCTGGGGGCGGGCGGCCCTCTTCAGGACCTCCCGCATCTTCGACGCTGGCTGGTGGGCGTGCTGGCGCGAGTTCGACGGCGCCAGCGGCTCGTGGCGCACTGGAACGTGTCCCAGACCTACCAGGTTAGCAAGCAGAACGGCAAGGAGGACGCCAAGTCCGCGAGGCTGCTCCACGGGCTGTGCTCCTGCGGTAAGCTCTGGGTAAAGACCGCGCAGCGTAAGGGCATGATCGTTCCCGACCGCGACTGCGGCTGCCTGCCTCGACGTTCCCGCGTGGGTGCCATCCGCGCTGCAGCTTGCCTCCGCTGGCGGACTAGGCGCCGCAGGATCTCGACGGTAGACGCCAAGCACGACGTGCAGAACGCGTTCGCATCGAGAATGTGATGCTAAGATCCTTGTCCAGCGACATCGTCGAGCCTGCTTCGAGATTGAGGCCGGGGGGGGGGGGGGGGGGGGCATCGCGATGAAGAGCGCAGAAGGCAACTACATGGACGACTCCAACGCGGCCATAGTTTTCCAGGGGGCGTTCACCGTGCCTGTTAGGCGCTGGCAGCAGCTTCGCCATGCGAGGTACCCAAACGAGCCGATGGCGTGCTACCCCCTGTCGGACGAGCTGGTGGAACTATCGCTCCGAGTCTTTGCCGACGACGTCGACAAGACGTGCCGCGCGGTCGACCCTGCCCACGCGAGGCGCACCATCGTGTACTCCGACCAGCAGCTGGACGCGACACTACGAGAAATTGGAGTTGTGCAGAGCCAAGGCAAGAAGGCAGTGGTCCCGCACTACGTCGGCCCTGGCTCCCACGCCTACAACAGACACGTCTTCTACGGCCTCGTGGGCGGCGATATCCCAGGCACCATCCTGAAGGAGGCTACCTTCCTCGGGACCACCTTCACTAGCAGCGGCGTCTTCTGGCCCGAGATCGCGGCGCGGTGCGTCGCGGCCCGACGCGGGTGGTACTTCATGGAGAAGTTTTGGACGACGTGCAAGCAGTGGACGATCAAGAAGACTGCGTTTCGGAGCATGGTGATGGGCGCAGCCGCGTCTGGATTGACTGGGCTGGTGCTCGGCGCGGCGCAGTCGGACAAGTTGGATCGCCAATGTAGGAAGTTTGGACGGGTACTACTTGACGGAGTGGCAGTGCGGGTAGAGGTGGATGACGGACGCGGAGGGGTCTCGGAAGTTCTGCCTTCACCCCCTGCACTACACATGGCTCCGACTGGGGCTAGTCCCGACAGCAGTTGAATTTCGGGTGCAGCGGCTGAGAGAGTGGCAGGCGATTGCGCGGAAGCCTGACTGGCACGAGCAACATATTGCGGCGGTATTCGGCGACCTGGAGATTGCGATGGAGAAGGACAGCGAGTGCCAGTGGTTGGTTTCCTGCCGAGGCCATGAACTATACGAGCACGGCAAACGCCAAACCCTGGGCGGTCCAATTCAGGGGGGACGTCGACTACGTGGCTGTGACGGAGGAGGGGGCGCAGACTCTGGAGATGATGGGCGGAGACTACTTGGGCCTCTTCGATACGGAGACGGAAGTCCACGCGGCCTTCGCCCTTCTCGACGTCAAACAGTCTCACAGTGAATGGTTCACGCGTCGAAGGGCAGACAACGTACCAGGGTTTGGCGCGACGCAGCAAGTGCAGGAGCCAGGTGAGCACGCAGACGGTGACTACGAATGTGAGCTGCATGGCGCTGGCGGCCTACCTTGCTCGAAGCGTTTCAAGAGTAAAAGAGCTCTTCTCGCCCAGCGGCGCCAGGCAGAGGGGGGCAGCATGGGCGGCAGAGGGCGACGGAGAAAATCACGATGACGAACCAATGCGTAGCATGCAGAAGCAGTTTCAAGGATAGACAGACGGCGGTGCGACATTTACAGCACGCGTATGAGCAGGGAAGATGCCGAGTGGATGCCGGCCCTTACAGCCGTCCCGTCATAGACCCATGCGAGCGAAGTTGCCCTTTCTGTCTTGATCTGGGGCAATTTGAGGGGTTCGAGGAGCTTCAGGCGCACCTGCGCCGACACTTGCCGAGACCGCTGCCCTTTTTCAAGTGGGGCATCCCGTTGCCTCCTGCAACGCGTGATGGGGGGCCTGTTCGACTTGGTGCCGACGCTGGCGGCGGAGGGGCAGGGCGCTGTGAACGAAGGGGGGGGGGGGGGGGGGGGCGGGCGCAGACGGAGTCGCGAAGACCACGGAGAAGGAGGAACGCAGACGGAACGTCGTGGCAAGACGCGTGGACAGAAGCAGAACAACAGAGTCGTATCGCAGGAGGAGCTGGAGGGCCTCGAGAAGATGGATGTGGAAACGCTTCGCTCCTTGGTCCCCGTGCTGGCGAAGATGGTGCTCAACTTGGCGATGCGGACGCGACAGGTGGAGGCGGTTGCCCTGGCGACGATCTTCATTGGCGTGAACGCGGAGCCCGTGGTGAAGGCGAGAGGAAGGGTCAAGGCATATCGACAAGGCACAAGAGCTACGCCAGCGAAACAAAGAGGGCGATATCGAATCCAGATTGAACACCATAAGCTGCGCGGCCATGGTCGGACTGATCGAGGGATGCGAGGGGCAGGCAGTTGCCGTCGGCCAGAAGAGCCAGAAGGAGCTGGAGACCATGAAAAACAAGATCGCGGAAATGACACCGAAGCAGGCGGCGGAGTTGTTCTCGCTAGTAAGGGTGCAGGCCACGTTCAAGGGGGCGGACGCGAGGATCACGATTGCGAAGCTAGACGTGCTGCGGCCGTTGCACGCCTGCTTGGGGCAGCTGGGCGGAGTCTCGAAGAGCGGAGTGGCCCCGATGTCGCACTTGGAGCGGGCCCTCAACACCTACCTGGGCGATGTCCAGGACGGACCAAGCGGGAACGCGATATTGGCATGGTGCTGAATGCCGAGAAGGAGGATGGTGGACTCCTGCTACTACCAGAAGAAGGGCCTCCAGCGGTGAGGCCAACGGAGACCGCCTTCGACGAGAGGCGCTGTGCACAGGCTTACATCTCCTCCCCCTCCGTCGTCGGGCCTCCTCCCACCCCGAATCCTGGGCCTGGTAGGAGACGCCCCCCCCCGCGCGCCCCAGAGCAATTCAAGGGTATTTTCGGAATCTCGGGTGGGGGGGCGCTCTTTGAAATTCTGTTGCAAATTTAGTTGCCCCTCCCCATAGGCGGCCCAGGGCGCCGTGGGACCCCGCCCCCCTTGCTGCTGCGTGCTTGCCGCTTGTGCCGCTGCCCCTCCTTCCCTCCCCTCTCGCTCCTCGCTGGCCCTCCGCTCTGCGTGCTGCCTCGCGGCTCTCATGCTTGCTGGCTCCTTCCCTTCCCTCTGCTTGCGGGGGGTGGCGGTCGGATGGTTGAAACCCCTGGAACCTTCAGGGTGGGCTGGGGGCCCAAAATCTCGGTAGCATGCCGTTCCTAGGGTGATTTCAGATCTGCCGCGAAACTTCGCCCCGAGAGGAGTTAGTAGTAGTAGTCCTCCTCCTCCTCCTCCCCCTCCTCCTCCTCCTCCTCCTGCTCCTCCTCCTCCTCCTCCTAATACTTCTCCTTCTTCTCCTCCTCGTCTTCGAGTCATGAATATTGACGACGGGACGTCTTTCGCTAATTATGTCCAGCCTCTGGGGGCCCCTACGGGCCTTTGGGGCCGTCAGAAGACGACTCAGGATGAGGAGCCTGTCCCAGGGCATGGGTCCAGGTCTTTCAGGGGTCGCGTCATGAAGAAATCATGGCGTCGGGGTCTGGGGTACGGGCGCCTTCGCGAGCGTCTCGGGGGCAGGGGCGCCAGAGGCGCTCTCCACCGTCGCCTTCCCCTTAGGTCCTGGCGTCTCCATTTTTTCAAACTGGGCGTCTTCGCTCCATTTCGGGCTCAGGGTCCTTCACATACCGATCCGCGTCGACGAATGGCGCAGAAAGATGGGGTCCGGGCCTCCGGTCGTGATTTCTTCTTCGATGCTGCATTTTTGTGCAGCAAGATAATGCCCAAACTGGGGTCAATCAGAGCGCTTGCAGGATCCTGCGAAACCAGGGGTATACTGTCTCGGGTTTGGGTGCAGGATCGTGCAGGATCGATCCTGCAGGATCTTGCAGGATCCTGCAAGGCCTGACTGGCCCGGGCTTGGATTGACCTGGGCCAGTAGGCACCCGACGCCTGGTTTTCTCGCCGCCGTCGTAGAGAGGCCTTGCCGACGCTTGTCTGCCCTGCGCAGGTCGTCGCTGGAATCGTAGGCCGCCAGGGGTTGGCGTGAATGCACATGAGCGCACTGCGCTGGGCACGAGTGTCCGGGCAAAAAGTCACCGCCGACCAAACCACCCCAACCCAACCCGAAAGCTGAGATTTATTCTCGATTTCCAGTGGGGGGGTCGAGAAACATAGCAAAAACACATGTGTAACCCTTACCCCCCCAACCCGAAATTCGGGTCTTCGGGTTGGGTTGGGGTGGTCTGGCAGGTAGTCAAAAAGGCGCCCCTCTTCCTCGTCCACCCCCTTGCTCCCGTTCCCCCTTCCTCCCCTTCTTCCCAGACATCCGACGTCGTGGCTTTTTCGCAGCGTGGCTCCTGAGAGGCCGGGACCCTTTGCCCGGGGGCCGGATGCTGCCTCCTGCTCAAGGCTCTGGGGCCTGGCGACGCCCAGCGGCCAGCGGCCGCGAACCAGCGTTGTCATTTTATGATTCTATCGTGTCAGCATACGCGAAATACTGTTTTCGTGGCGTGCCACGCGAGCAAGCGAGCAAGAGCGAGCAGTTAGGGCGTGATTTTTTTCCCAACCATCCTGTGGTGTTGGGTCCTCGTTTTGAAGAGACGGTGCCCCGCGTTCTCCTTCCTCCCTTCCTCCCGCTGCCTCCTCCCCCCTCCCATCATCATCATCATCATCATCGTCGTCATCATCATCATCACCATCATCGTCACCGCCATCGCCATGATCATCATCGACATCATCGACGTCATCATCACCACCACCACCACCATCATCATCATCATCATCATCATCATCATCATCATCATCATCATCATCATCATCATCATCGTCATCGTCATCGTCATCGTCATCACACAATTCGGCGCACCCCGCGCACGTTTCGTGGCCCCATAGGGAGCTCCACCGAAGGCCCCAGTGCTGCCGCCCGCATGCGTCACGCACACCCAATTCGGCACACCCCGCACACGCTTCGTGGCCCCATAGGGAGCTCCACCGAAGGCCCCAATGCTGCCGCCCGCATGCGTCTCGCACACCCAATTCGGCACACCCCGCACACGCTTCGTGGCCCCATAGGAAGCTCCATCGAAGGCCCCAGTACTGCCGCCCGCATGCGTCACGCACACCCAATTCGGCACACCCCTCACACGTTTCGTGGCCCCATAGGGAGCTCCACCGAAGGCCCCAATACTGTCGCCCGCATGCGTCACGCACACCCAATTCGGCAAGCATCTCACACGTTCCGTGACCCCATAGGGAGCTCCGCCGAAGGCCCCAGCGCTGCCGCCCGCATGCGTCACGCACACCCAATTCGGCACACCCCTCACACGTTTCGTGGCCCCATAGGGAGCTCCACCGAAGGCCCCAGTGCTGCCGCCCGCATGCGTCACGCACACCCAATTCGGCACACCCCTCACACGTTTCGTGGCCCCATAGGGAGCTCCACCGAAGGCCCCAGTGCTGCCGCCCGCATGCGTCTCGCACACCCAATTCGGCACACCCCGCACACGTTTCGTGGCCCCATAGGGAGCTCCACCGAAGGTTCGCAGCTGCGGTACTGACAACTGCATATGGTTGGGTTCTTCGCCAGGCTAATTGGGGATCAGGGCTGACTTCGGCTTCGACTGCCACAGGCCAGCGGGGCCTGACCCCACCCCAGCCCCCAGGCCCGACCCGGCCCGCCAATGTGCCGCGGCGGCTTGCTCCTGCTGGCCGCGGCTGCCCAGTGCGCTGCGGCCCCCGGCGCCGGCGACCTCGCCTCGGGAGGCGCGGCGCGCTCGGAGGCGGAGGCGGAGGGCCAGCAGGAGTGCGAGCACGCGGCCATGCGCCTGCAGGCCCTGCAGACGCGCTCGTCGCTGGCGGGCGCGCGCTCGCACGAGGACCCCGAGCCCGAGGCCGCGGACCCTGGCCCCAAGCCCCTGGGGCCTGCGGATCTGGACATGCGGGAGTTGACCGGGTACGCGGAGGGCAACCCGTACGTGCCCGGGCCCAACGTCTACCTCAAGGAGATGGTGGACCCGAGCAATTATTGGGGCTATTGCCTGGACATCGCTGGGTCTCCACCCAAGCCCCTCTGCGAGTCGGTGCAGGGCCACTCCTGCAAGACCGAGGGCGAGGACACCAGTTCACATATGATATCGAGAAGCATGAGATTCGTTCGGTCAACTTCAACCATGAGTGCGACGCGCTGTATAGCGGGAACAACAGCGTCAGGGTTTGGGAGGCCGCCGTCGACAACGCCAAGCAGGCTTGCCTCCAGGTCGACGGGGACTTTGTGGCGGGCGCCACCCTGAGCATGGGTAAGTGCGACGGCCAAGGGCAGCAGAAGTTCATCTATACGCCCAAGATGCAATTTGCCGTCGGGGACGGCACCCTCTGCCTCGTCCTTGGCACCGAGAGGGAGGCCTTGCCGGACATGATGATGCGCTCCGCCGAGCTCCAGAGGTGCGATTCGTGGCCGTCCGAGCTGTCCACGTGGGAGGTCCTCTTGGAGGACCACGTGCCGCTCTCGTCGCTGCAGTGAGCGGCGACCGCTGCTCCCCCCTGGCGGACTCCTGGGGGAATTCGTTAGAATTTTTCCCACACGCACTATTGTAGGCATGTCTCTTTTCTCATGAGTTTTTTGACAGTCTACGGTAGTCTGCGATATTCATGGAGGCGGTCTTTCATGAAGAGGTGATGCCCTTCATGCAATTTTTAGCTATGTTGGTGTATTTCCATTAGCACGTCACCTACTACTACTATTGCGACTGTTCATGTCCTGGGCATTACAGTGTCTGAGCTCTGATTGAGAACGGATTGAACGCCCGTTCTTCCTTTAGCCGCCTGAGCGCAGTGCACGATAGCGCTCGCCGTGTCCTCGGAAAATTGTGGCCAGAGAAACAGGAAATGAGATGCAGTAGTTCGGTGCCGTCCGGCCGGCCTGGACACAATGGCATTCCCACGACTAGCAACAATTATTACGACGACTGATATTCCGAATAGTCCGACTTTACTACTATTACGACCACTGCTGTTGCTATCCTTAGTTATCCAACTAATTAACAAGCTAATTAGCTACTTTTACGACGTACGTACGTACTGCGTACTACTTAACAAACTAACTAGCTACTTTTACAAGCTATCTACGTACTGCGTACTACTTTCACGACGACGACTTCTACTACTATTATTACCTACTACCTACTACCTACTACTACTACTACTACTACTACTACTACTATTACTACTACTACCACTACTACTACTACCGCTACTACCACTACTACCCACTACCTACTACCTGCTACTACTAGTATCATTACTACTACTAACTACTAGTACTGCTACTACCACTACTACTACTAGTAGCAGTAGTAGTAGTACTACTACTACTATTATTCCAACTCCCACTAGCACTATCACTACTACTAAAACTACTACGGCTACCACTGCTACTCCTACTACTACTACAACTACTGCTACTACTAGTACTAGTACTACTACTTCTACTACAACAACAACTACTACTACTAGTGCTATTTCTTCTCCCTTTACTAGCACTACTATTATCATCAGTAGTACTACTACTACTACCACTACTACTAGTACTACTAGTACTACCAGTACAACATCAACTAGTATTATGACTTCCACTACTACTACTGCTGCTGGTACTACTACTACTACTACCACTACTACTACTACTACTACTACTACTACTACAATTACGACTACTGCTACTACTACTACTACTTGTACTACTACTACTACTACTGCTACTACTAGCTACCACTACTATGATGATTTCTACCACTACTATTGCTACTACTACTATTACTACTACTGTTTCTACTACCTACTACTACTTCTACTACTACTACGACTACTACTACTACTACCTACTACTACTAGTCCTACTACTACTACTACTGCTACTACTACTACTACGACTACTATTACTACTTCTACTACTAACTACCACTACTACGATGCTTACTACCACTACTACCACCACTACTACTACTACTACTGCTACAACTGCTACTGCTACTACCTACTACTACTTCTAACACTACTACTACTAGTCCTACTACTACTACTACTACTGGTCCTACTACTACAACTACTACTACTACTACTCCTACTACTACTACGACTACTACTACTACCGCTGCTACTACTGCTACTACGCTACTTCTACCAGTACTACTAAGTACAACTACTACTACTACTACCACTACTACTACTACTACTGCTGCTACTACTACTACTACTACGACTACTACTACTACTACTACTACTACTACTGCTACTACTACTACTACTACCTACTACCTACTACTACTTCTTCCACAACAACTACTACTACCAGTCCTGCTACTACTACTACTACTGCTACTACTGCTGCTACTACTACTACGGCTACTACTGCTACTACTTCTACTATTGCTACTACTACTTCTACTACTACTACTACTCCTACTACTAACTACCACTACTACGCTGATTACTACCACTACTACTACTGCTGCTGCTACTACTGCTACTGCTACTACTACTACTACTACTTCTACTACTACTTCTACTACGAGCCCTACTACTTTTACTTCTACTACTAGTCCTACTACTACTACTTTACTACTACTAATGCGTCTACTGCTACTGCTGGTACTACTACTACTGCTCCTACTACTAACTGCATCAACAACAACAACTACTACTACTACTACGACTACCTACTACTGGTACTTCTACTACTACTACTAGTCCTACCACTACTACTACTACTACTACTACTAGTCCTACTAGTCCTACTACTACTACTACTACTACTACTACGACGACTATTACTACTACTACTACTACTAGTACTACTACTGCTACTGCTACTGCTACTACTGCTACTACTGCTACTACTACCACTACTACTAACTACAACAACTACTACTACTACTGCTACTACCTACTACTACTTCTATTAATACAACTACTACTACTAGTCCTACTACCACTACTACTACTACTGCTGCTACTACTGCTACCACTACTACCGCGACGACGACTACTTCTTCTACTACTACTACTGCTACTACTACGTCTACTACTACTACTACTACTACTACTAACTACCACTACTACGATGTGTACTACCACTGCTACTGCTACTGCTACTACTACTACTACTACTAGTACTACCTACTACTACTTCTGCTACTACTACTACTAGTCCTACTACTACGGCTACTAGTCCTACT